GACTTCTCGGGACTCGTGCTGTCTGTGACCTTGGATTCCCTGGACTCTGCTCCCTTTGGGCTGCGGGCTTCCTGCTTCCTCAGCCTCCAGCTTCCCATCTCACTCACAGACCTGAGCTGGACGAGGTTTGCCCCCTCTGCAGCTGCCTGGGCCGTTCTCGTAACACACATTTCTGTCTTATACATAGATGAACGTCACTGAATTTGCTTTCCCAGTGAACACACTACGCAACAGAATTGAAAGGCTGGACTCAGACAGACCCTTGCTGTGTACACCAATGTTCACAGCAGCACTATCCACAACGCCGAGCAGGGGGAGGGGGCAAACAGTAGTGTCCGTCCACAGAGGAACAGCTAAAGAAAATGGTCTGAGTCATCGTCATCCAGAAAAAGCAATGGAGTCGCTATGTGGATGAACCTTGAAAACATTATGCCAAGTGAAATAAGCCAGATTTAAAAGGACAAATATTATATCTGAAATATCTATTAAAGGCAAATTCAGAGACAAAGGTAAATTCGAGACTGCCAAGAAACAGGGGTGAGGGGGTTTGCTTCATAGGTACAGTGTTTCTGTTTGGGATGATGAGAAACTGGTAGACCGTGGTGAGAACGAAAAAACACTGTTGCTGTAATTCATGCCACTGGACACATTAAGATGGCAAATTTTACGTCAGAAAATGTTTCCAAATGTAACCCAATGGTAGTATGTGGCATCAGCCCCACTGACTTCTGCTTGTCCCCTGCTGCCTCCCCACTCTGAACCCCATCTGGCTGACTGCGGGATGGAGTTCGGGGAGTGGAAGTGGGGTTAGGGGACTAACGGTTAGTATGTATGCCGTGTCTTCCTGAGCACCAAGCACTGTGCGAGTGAGCTGTTTCGCTCAGAGTGGAAACGAGAAAGGTCGTGAAATTGGTCAAGAGTTGAATGGGCGCTGGAATAGAGGACGGAGCACAGGTGGGGAAGCAGCGGGGGGCACAGTACGTCAGATCATGGTCCTCAAGGCCCCGTTTTCCTTGACTTCTGAGAGTGCAGGAGCTTGGTTTCAAGGGCCAGCCTGTTTTAAAGGCGGAACACACAGAACTTAAGCAAGAAAGCACAGCTGGTCAGTGGCCTTGTGTCTTCTCACAGTAGTGAGGCTGCGGAGAGAAAGATGATGGGACTCAGCTCCATTGTGTAGTCCCCTTGTTCCAGCAAGGCTCTCTGATTGGGGTAGGCACTGCCTTGTGCTTGTATATGCCAAGAACATCAGTGGTTGTATCCTTGACATTAGTTGCCATTGCGTCAATTCCAATCCACAGCAACCCCACGTGTGCAGAATGGCTTGAGTCTTGAACAGAGCACCAGGCTTGTCTTCCAAGGCATTTCTGCTTGGGTTTGAGCCGCCTATCTTTTGGCTAGTGGTTGCATGCTTAACCGTGTATACTGTCCAGGGACTCCCAACAGTGGTACCATCTCTGAAATCCTTAACCATCTTCATCCTGGACTATGGGATAAAGCTGTAAGGCCTTGGCCACAATTCAGGGGCAGGGGCATGTCTCAGTGGGGCAAGCGAGAGTCACTCCAGTATCCTAGATAAAGAGGTTACACGAGCCTGGGGCTGTTGGTGGCCATCGTCACCACTTTGGGGGAGAGACCACGTGGGAGGATAAGCCAAGTAGCCGAATGGAGCAACCGAGTCTTTGTGCCATTGTTTGAGTACCTGGATGCAGCCAAGTCCCCTGGACTACTATGAACATTTCACCCATAAAAGTAGATTCCATTTGAGATCGTTTGAGTTGTGCCCCTGGTAGCTCTAAGTGTTGGGACAACAGCCTTGGCATCCTGCCCATCTTGAGCTAGGTCTATCTTCATAATTACTTGCCATTCCTTTCCAATTGGTATCACTGTGGCTCTCAGCTCCAACCTGGTTCCCCAAAGCCACACACCTTCTCTTCTGGCTTCCGCGCCAACACCGTGGGTTACATCATGCTCACCAAAGTGGGTTCATCTTGCAAGGAAGACCCAGATCAAGGTTCTCCTCCTTCATGAGCCCTATCTGGCCAGGATAGGGTTAGAAGGCTGCACCCTGGTGGCGCAGATTCAGCCTCTCCAGGTTTCCTCTTCCCTGGTGGCAGGGCTGGAAAGCACTTGAGGGCAAGGACCATCTCTATTGGTACCTCCGTATCCTCCACAGAGCACGTGCCAAGGTGAAAAGCATGTGAGACGGTTCACTGGGGTGAGTAAGCACTGGTACGCTGGAACGCACCTTGCTCACTGGGTATTCTGACTTTGTCCAGGACTGGACACTTAACAAGATGCTATTGAAGATGCAGTGGGGCTGGGAGACGGATGGCAGCCAGACCTGGAACAGGAATCTTTGATGGAGCGAGCACGGTGAGATCGCTCTCTGCAGACTAGTGAGCAAGCCAGGGCTTACCTTCTTATTGGGTAATCTTCCCCTGGATGCCCCTCAAGCAATGGATGAGGGGCACCACCCCCTTTATTCCAACAAAATGTCTCTACACCCCATGGAAGGAAACTCCTCTCGGCAGCAGAACTCTGGGTGGGAGAACCTATAGAGTATAGATCCCCAAACTTAATTGACCCACCACCCCCTTTTCAGAAAAAGATGACCCAGCACCCACCCCTGGCAATTAGAACTCTTGTACTATAGTCCATAATCCAGGATAAAGTGAAGGTATCTTCTTTTGCAACCCCACCTACCCAGGGGGGCAGTATCACTCGCTTTCGGAAAACACGGCTCTAGAGGAAGGTGAAATCAAGGGGTGGGATCTGGCCGACAAGGAGCAGCTAGACCTCGCCATGGAAAAGGCCCTGTTTTACAAAGGGTATGGGACTTTCCAAACAGGGCTTCCTGCAGGGGCCTTTGGACCTCATTCTGAGATACCTGCAAGACCCTTCAACAGTTGGAACCACCGCTGTCTTTTTGAAAGTCCTCCTCATTACCAAACTCCACTGACACGTGGTTGGGCTGAGGCGTCTCTCTCTCCTTAAATGTCTTAGGAAGCCTCTCACCACTCACTCAGTGGGCAGGGCAGGGCAGGCCGACATACCACCTTTGGTTCCAGGAAACCAGTGCACTCTTGATCAAGGAAACAGGAGCCTCACTTCCACCCCCAGCAACAAAGCCAAGAGTTTCCCCGTAGCTTAGTGAGGATCTGAAGTCTTAATTCTCAAATTGGTGTCCCCAATTGGGTACTTTCACTTGAAGGGGACACATTCAAAGATGTCAAGATATCATCTTTTCCCCAAAACTCCTGCCCTCATTAAAATGTCACCTCCCTCCCACGCCCCCCAAACCACCCCCAAGTCCAAACCAAACCAACCACACAACTCAAGGACGGAGGAAAAGTTAGAGACTATTTGAAGAGAAGGGTCATAAATTTGATGCCCTGTTTTCTCACTGTCGTTGCCGAGTGCGGACACCGGGGGTGGATGGAGATAGCAGCTGAAGAGATTCTTGAGTTATCTTCAGAAAAAGGAAACCGCCCCTTCGTGTGCCCCCAAGGACCTCTCCTTGCCGCCCTTTATAGCCTGCACCGTCTGAGCTGCTGAATCACCATGGCTTCCTCGAACCCCTCCGAAAACTCACTGCCGAGTCCCTGCTGACTCAGGGCAACACCCTGTGGGTTTCCGAGACTGTAACTGTTTACGGGAGTGGAAAGCTGATCTTTCACCGCGGAGCTGCTGGTGACTCCAAACTGCCGATCGTGTGGATGGCAGCTGACAGGTAACCACTGCACCACCTGGGCTCCTTTGGATGCCTCTAGGCCAACACTTCCTCAGGCCCCTGTTCACCTGTCTTTAAATAGAGCTCTGTCTGTCCCTTATTCCTTTACTCTCTACTGCTTGCTGAAACACTCAAGCGCCAAAGTGGGCTCTCCTCACCTTCCTGCCCTCTGCTGACCGCCAGCTTGTGCTCGTGTTTCTGCTGCTCCCACTGAAGAACGCCCGGAGGAGCGAGCAAGCGAGTCTCCAAACACCCACCTCCCACAGCCCTTCAGACCACTCAAGTCAGAACCAGCCTCCTGCTGGCATCCTCAGTGTTTCCCAGATGTCCAATGGGCCATGTACTGCATTGTACCTTTGCACAGAGATTAGCCACCGTCCCAAAGACCATAAAGCTCATGGAGATGGAGTGCTCAACAGTTCTGCCTCCGCAGCACAGGAGGTCCTTTGGAAATGTCTGAACTGAAATGAGAGAATACACCGCCCCCTCAAGATTTTCTTTCCAGGAAATATTTTTTTTAAAAACCAAGAAAACTTAGATGGGCTGCCCCTAAAGGAAGCCTTAAGCTTTACCCAGCATCCATTTGGGGCCGAGTGTGCTGGCTGACATTTCTGGATGAATAACGCGGACGTGGTAGCCATCAAGACCTGGCACTGTCATTGGACAAGTCACACCTAGGCTCTTCCACTGGCCTGTGGCTTCAGAAAAGCAGCACACTTTCTTCTGGCCGGCCCAGCCCCACAGCCCTGCATTCTTCCTGCGTGATTGGTAGCGTGAGATGCAGGGCTCTCTGTGGCGACCAGGGATGCTGAGGCAAACTCAGGGTTTGGTGTCGAGGATGGGGCAGGAGCATGGGCGGTTCCTACCTGTGGTCCCCAGGCTGCCTGGAGGAATGGCATCATGCAGGTGACAGTACCTTGGTGGAGATGTGTGTGAGTGTATGTATGTGCACAAGTGCCTTCTTTTTATTCACAACAAACCTCACTCTGGTCTCTCCCACCCTCTCTGAGGAAGGGAATGAACCAAATCAGGGGACTGTGACAGAGGAAGGGGCTGGTGGCAGTGTTTGCCCGGTGGGCTGTCATCAGTCGGGAACCACCAGCTGCCCAGGGGAGAAAGAGGCTTTGTGCCCGTCAGAGGTACAACCTTGGGAACTCACGGGGCAGTTCTACCCTGTCGTCTAGGGTGGCTGTGAGTCAGAATTAACCCGATGGCTGTGAGTTTGGTTTGGTGACAGAAAAATGACAGTGAGTCATTCACATCTACATTCTTATTTGTAGTTTCTGTTTTTGTGTTTTTAATTATTTTCTTAAAAAAAACCATAGTAACAACAAAAAAACACAACCAGGGGAATTTGGATGGCAAACTCTCAGTATCAGATGGCAGGGAGAAAGGAAGGTCAGGGCATGGGAAGCCAGTAAAAGGTGGGCTCTGAACCACATGGAGCAGCCCACAGGGTCACCTTAGGGCCTCATGCACTGACCAGTCCTTGGCCTGCCTGCTCAGACACCCACTGTCAGGGAGCTGGCCACGCCTCAGAAACCTGCCAACGTCAAACGCGGTCCCCAACAGAAAGATGAGACTTGGCAGGGCTCCTTGGTCTGGGCCCGGTGTGGCACAGCAGTCCTTCTTGCCTGAGAGAAGGCAGGCTTGGTGAGCGCGAGAGGCACTGGGAGCCCTCTGACACCACTCAGTGAGCTCCAGTGAGGACAGGGTCTTCACCACCCACACAGCTGGCCTGTGCAGATGTCCATCTGACTGAAGCCAGGCGGGGCACTGGGGCCCAACAACGCTGTCCATTCTCGTCTAACTCTGCCTCGTAGCCTAAGGGGTGAGGAGGGGCTGGGGTCATGACTGCTCCAGTAATGCCACAGGGCAGTGTGGCCATGGGATCCCAGCGGTCTCTGCTTTCCCCCACTTTACACCCCAGCTCTCGGGGCAGGAAATCCAGGCAGACCCAGCACCATGTGGGTCGGAGAACATTTGAGAAGGGGAGGGGCATGCAGCAAGCCGGGGCCCGCTAGTCTGAGGGGCGTGCTGAGCCTGGAGCACACAGCCAGGCCCACTAGTCTGATCCAGTGTCCTGGCGCCTGATACAAGGGGGCCCACTGGTGGCTCCCTGTGGAGGGGCCCCTGTTCCTGAATGGAGGCCAGGTTACATCTCAGTGCCACAGTCCTGAGGAGCACCATGCTGGCCGGCCAGCCAGGCCACACAGTCTGAAGCCCCTCAGGGGCAATGGGACTCTGGGGTCCACAGGAAAGCCCCAGACTTGGGAGGGAGTAGGGGGTGGGGGGAAGGCTGCATTCTGCTGGGAGAAACTCACGGAGGAACTGTCATGGGCTTGGAAGGTGCTAAGACCCAAAATATTGCAAAACCAAAAAGAACAGGAGGCAATTTTCGGAAACAACAACAGGCTTGTCCCCACTTTGAAAAGAGAGCATTGTTGCTGTTGCTTGGGTTTCGTGCCCCCGACCCCCTTTTAAAGCCACCCCTGTTTGAAAAGGCGGAAGGGCGAGGAGCTTCTCATCCTTGGCAGGCCCGTGCCAGGTCCGCTGCAGTAACCGAGTGAGCAAGGGCGGGTGGGGGCGCCACCGCTCTGCTTCCCAACAGCCTTCCTTCTCCTGTGAGGACAAGGCGAACACACAGGCCGCAGCCCAAGGCTAAAGTGCAGAGAACTCCCCGGAGTGCGCGGCCCTAGGTGTTGGGGCACTCGGAGGAGGAGGGCTGGGTGCTCAGCCCAGAAGGACAACTGGAAGAAACACTGACCCTTCAGAAGCAGGCTGCAGGGCCCAGTCCCCTTTCTCTTGGGCCCTGTGGACCCCTCTGGCTGGAACTGTGTGTCCACTGTCAGCAGTGCCCGCAGGAGAGACCCAGGCAAAAAGCTCCGGTCCAGGAAGGGAGAGGTGGGCTGTGGCAACCCTGGTTGGTAATGCTAGTGACGTGATCGGGCAGGGAGAGGAAGGTGGCTGCTGGGAACAGTGCATGACGTCCAGTGTGCATCCAGGCACGGGGAACGCCGAGGGAGTCTCTCCAGGTACAGTGGGGAGAAGATGGTCGGGATGCTACCAGTGAGGCCTGCTGGGGGAAAGGGGCTCCTCAGGGGGCTGAACGGAGCTGTTGAGCTGGGGCGGGGGGCTGAGGGGGAAACCCCAGGGGCTGGCATTAGGGTGTGTAGGCCGGGGGCGGCTGGAACTGGTTGATGACCTCGTACTCCGCTGGGTACGGCTCGTTCTCCTCCATCTCCGACAGCAGCTCCAGCGCCTGTTCCTCTTCCTCTGTAGGGTAGTGGCGCAGGAGGTTGGCCGCTGTGGCCAGGATGGAGGCCCCACCAGCTCCTGCCACCAGGTAGAAGCTGACGGCAAAGGTGACGTAGACCTGGGAGCCATGGTACTTCTTATGTTGCTGCTGCTGGGCCAGGATGAGTTCGGAGGCCCAGTAAGAGAAGCCAATGACAGTGGCACACTGCAGGACTGAGGGACAGAGGGCCGTAGGGAAGGGGTTAGTGGGCACCTCCTGCCCAGAGGCTCAAGGTACCATCCACAGGCTCGCTCTGTGAACCCCATTCTTAGAAAACATGCTGGGCTCCAGCACCACAAGGGGAGCACTCCTGGTCATGGGATTCTTGGACTGGGATGGGGGACAGACACCTGCCCCTAGTCTGACCCCACCTGGGGGCCGGATGGAGGACCTTGGGTGTTTGGGAGGAGCAGCTAAGGCAAGCAGTTGGGAATGGGCTTTGGAACTGTCCCCATGGCAAGTCCCACAGTCCTGCAGCCCCGACTGTCAGGAGGAAGGAGAGAAGCCAGGTGTCAGCAGAGGGAACTGTGGGGCAGAGGGAAGATAACCTGCTGAGGCCAGACCCTCTCAGGTGCACCAAGAAACAGCCTGATTTCGGGCCCTGGGAGCTCACTTGAGCTTGAAACGCAGTTTAGAGAGAGGGGTGATTCCTGGTGGTTTTCTGGCTACATGCTCTCCACAGCTGGGCAGAATGAGCTGTGGACTGGGCAGGGTGCATGCACTGACTGAAGCACGCTGCCCACCTTCCCAGACACTGTGAAGAGCTCCAGCTGCAATGAGCTGTGGAGCGGGGCCTGCTCCGCACACACCCTCCACAGCATGCACCCACCCGCCCGCCGCCCATGGGGAGTAGGCCCCGTTCGTTACCTGTGAGGATGTGGGCAAAGGCATAGCGACGGGTGATCTTCAAGGCAGGATGCTTGGGTCCAAAGACATCCAGCAGGAAGGCGGAGAGGCTGCACAGGATGCCCAGGAAGCAGAAGGCGGCGATGACACGCAGGAGCAGCACAGTCTGGGGACTCATGCAGAAATCTGCAGAGAGGAAGCCCAGTAACCCACGGGCCCAGGGTGCACCCCGAGGAGGCAGTCGGAGCTCCTGTTCCCAGCTGGCCTTTGGGCCACGCTCCCACAGGCTCTGCTCACCCCAACACAAATTGTGTAAGCACCATGCTCTCCAGGCTGCTCCCCCAAGCCCAGCACTGAACTGGAGTGTGAATTCCTGGGGCGGAGGCTTGCTTTGGGCGGGCTGCTTTTGGAGCTATGGCAGCAAGAAAGGCCTGTGGTCAGTCGGTGAATGCTGATTCTCCATGCACTCAAGAGACAGAGCATTCATTTGGCTAGGCTACTTCTGGTCCAACACGAGTCTAGATATTGCTGTGAAATACGGACGTGTGATTAAATGCGATACCTTAAGCAAAGCTGATGACCTTCTACAATGTGCGGGGCTGAGAGAGAGAGAGAATATACTGGTTTTGTTCCAGAGAATCCTCATCAATTCCTCACTCATTCCCTCCCTGTTCTAAATAGAAGTTTTTAGATTCACAGATGTGTAACCACAAAGCCAAATGCACCGCCATCCATTCAACTCCTAGCGAGCCCTACAGGACCGGACAGAACTGTCTGTGTGGCTTTCTCTCCCAGACACTAACTCTCCACAGGAGTGGACAGCGAGAGGAAACTGGGTCCGGGAAACAGTGGAGGGGGGAGGGCAGGGGTTGGGGGACACGCAGGGGGTGGGGTGGCGGCGAGCGGAATGGTCAAACTGATGGGTAGGTGACCAGTGGGAAGCTGCAAAGGCCACGAGGTTTATGTCCCCAAAGCCCCAAAGGCTCAGAAATGAACAGCACCAAGGACCTTCTAGGAGAACAGGGCCACTGACGGGTGAACACTCCAAAAACCAAGGAAAAGGAAGGTGCATAAACTGAAGACCCAATATTCCCCGAGTCCCAGGGTCACGAGGAAGGAAGACCTCAGCCAGAATGGTGGCCTCGAGCCAGATCCAGCGGGAAGCCTGTGTTTCCTCCCGGCCCTTTCATATAACGTATACTTGATACACCTATAAGCAACTGCGCACACACTGCCAACCCTTCGGTCGCTGTGCAAACGGGCACAGCTCCCAGAAGCTCCCTGAGAGAATGCAGGCTGATTCAAAAAGCAAGGCAGCTGTGACGAAGCTTTCATGAAAAGTAGGAAATGGGTCTTAACTTCTTCCCCAGCTTGGCTCTCTCATGGCCGCCAATAGGCACCTTCCTCACTTAGATCAAGGGGCACCAAGTGATTTATGCCAATTTGGAAAAGACAAGCCAGCCTCCGATCCAGGCTCTTTGCCCAAACCTCAGTCTCAGGCTGAAGGGATGAGGGTGGGGGCTATGGATCCTGGCGGCTTCAGATTCCCTGGAGTGCTGGTTGGAAGCCTGCTCCCCAGTCCCCTGAGATCCTGAGCTGGTGCAGGACCTGGGAGTCTAGATGGAGCATAGAGTCCAGATCCCTCCATGCAGAAGGTTGAAGCCCTGCACCCAGTCAGCACGGGCTCGGGAGCTCAGGGCAAGGTCAACTGAGGCAGCCAAGTTGGGGGATCTGGGGAGGGGACCGGAGCCCAACAGGGCAGAGCAAGCCCATCAGAGGAGGCAGTGAGCCCAGAGTGTGGGAGAGAGGGCTTCCCACAGTGGAGAGCCCAGTCAGACAGCAGAGGTCACGGACTTTAACACCGGGCACACCCTGCAGCAGGGTCAGAATGCTGGCTGGGCCAGACAAGACTCAGATGCCCCCAGCTAGCTTCAGGTCCTGCACCATGCTGCCCTCAAAGCCATCTGTCATGCTCTTTTGTCTGCAGACCATCTGTTTGGGGCCCACGTGTCCAGCCTGAGTGATCACCTACTGTCAAGCAGCTTGCCTGCTCTGCCAGCCACCATGGCCAGCCCTCATTTAAACCCAGCCCTGCAAAGCCGGAGAAAGCGCTGGGGCTTGAAAGAGTCTTGAAACCCAAGGGGCTTTGTTGCAAAAAAAAAAAAAAAAGAAAATAAAGCTCTAAGAGGCAGGGGCTGGCTGTCTCTTGGCTTTATCTAGAATATTGTTTAGAAGTTCTGTGAGCCATATTGCTCCTTGAGGTCCGCTTGGCATGGGGGGGGGGGGATGAGGCAGAGCAGGGCAGGGGAGAAACTGCTGTTCTTCCAGCGCTTCTAAGAATAACCCAGAAGAGGCAGTGCTGAAGGGCTTACATCACTCTGCAGCCGCTGTGCCGAGTCCACTAGCATGCCTGCGTGCAGGCAGGCACTCTAATCAATGCCTTGACTGTGCTTCTGAAAAAATAACTTCAGTGAGTTCTGATTCTACGAGTAGTTTTAATTGAAAAAGCCACACTTGAGGAATCCTCGGCAGCTGGTTTGGTTTTCATGTTTAAAGATTCGGGGAATAGATCCTGTTTGCCGGGCTAGGGTGGCAAGCAAGAGGATGCTTGCTCTATCATGTACCTGCGTTATAGAGGAGGAACCCCTGGTGGTGTAATGGGTAACACATTGGGCGGCTAACTGCAAGGTCAGTGGTTCGAAGCCACCAGCTGCTCCTCAGAAGAAAGATGAGGCTTTCTACTCCCGTGAAGAATCAGTGTTGGAAACCCACAGGGGCAGTTCTCCTGTCCTATAGGGTTGCCGTGAGCCGGAATCGACTCGATGGCAGGGACTCTAGCACAAACGGTCACGAATGGAAAGACAGGAGGTTTGATCCATGTGGAAGCAGCCGGGTGATGGAAACCTGGAGCAGCTCCACCTTGGCAGGCGTGGGTTCCACAGGAGGCAGCACCCACTCAAGTGCAACTGGGTTGATGTTTGGTGTGTGAGTTCTGTTCCCCCACAACGTATTATTATTTTCTTAACGATGAAAATTTTGAGAGAGGCCATCCCTCCCTTTCTACGCGCCCTGCTGCCCTCTCCCGAGACAAGCCTTGTCTAGTTCCTGGGTGCTCCTCCAGTGTGAGCCTCTAGGCAGGTCGGCAGAGGAGCCTCATCACAGCCCAGAGGAGGGAAGGAAGCTGCTGGGCTCCAAGTGCTGAAGTGACTTCCTGCAGGACAGAACCGGGTTCTAAACCCAGGGCAGAGTGCCCTGCCCGGGCGGCTCAGAATCACCAAGGACCAGAGGGAGCCCGCTTTGTTCTTCCCTGGGGGTGGGGGACCGGCCAGCGCTAATCAAATACTGAAGGGTTCTACTTGAATAAAAGGTCAAAAGCTAAGGAATGCTGTCAGAGCTCCACCCCCCTCGCCACCCCCACCCCCCACCCCGGAGCTCAGTAAAGAGACAGAAGCATGAACTCTCTTCAGTCAGAACAGGTTTGGGTCACTGAGCAGCTAGAAGGGCTTGGAATTGCTGGGCAAGACTGCTGGGGCTTCTGAACCCCCTAGAGCCACCAGGGTCTGACTGTGGGCAGCACGAGGAACCCCCAACTGACCAGAAGTTGGCCCCATCCCTCCTCTGCTCCTGCTGGTCCCATCTACCACAGGGGAGTGACACCACGCAGTGATGCAGCAGTCCCCCAAAGGCCACTGTCCCACTTCCAGCTGTATTAGTTCTGTGTGCTGTCCCGCCTATCATCGACGCACAGCCGACCCTTTAGGACGGGGTAGAACTGTCCCTGTGGGGTTCGGAGGAGACTGGTTCTTTAGGGGACAGGAACAGAAACCTCATCTTTCTGTGGAGCAGCTGCTGGTTTTGAACTGCAGGCCTTGCTGCTGGCAGCCCAGCGTGTAGCCAGCAGCCACCAGGGCTGAGTCTGAGTTGACTTGATGGCAGTGAGTTTGGTTCTGAACTTAGACTGAGACTCCCTCAGCCACACACACCTACCAAGGAGCTCCAAGCATCTGCCGACCAGCAGGCGAAGCATCTGCCCCACAAGGGGGATGGGGCGGTAAAGGGGGGTGCTTGTCACGTTTTTGCCACGAAAGCCCCACAGGCTTTGCTTCAACCTGCCTGCCTTTCTTTCTTCCCTCCAAAGCTGCGAGTCAACCATCTGTCAGGTGGAGTGGGGGAAGCCAATGCCAAACTTCTCTGAGGCTCTCGAAGCCCAGAGGGGCGGGCCAAGGAGTCCCAGACTGCTCTCGGTATCTCAACGTCTTTCCCCCTCCCCCACAGACAGCAGTATGGCCAGGAGTCATGGACATCTGCCCCTGGAGATGGCTAGTGGGCAGGGGAAGAACCTGAACACTGTGCATGTATTATTTTATAAAGAAGCGGCACACGGGGGCAGGTCTGGCTTTTCAATGCACACCCGAGGCGCAGTCTGCAGCACACACGGGCACACACCCGCCCTGCCGGCAGGGCCTGGCGGGTTGATTTTGGTAACCATTGCCTGACTGTCCCCTCTAGTCACCAGGGAAGAAGGCAGCAGCTGCTGTAATAGGAGCCAAGGAACTGACTTTGCCCAAGGTCACTGGTGAGTCACTACTGGGCCAGCTTTGTTTTGAAGGCCCTGCTCCTCTGGTTTACTTGCCCCCAGCTCTGACCTCCACTGCACCCCAACAGGTGGCAGCCAGGACGGCTGAAGTTTCCTCCTCTGTGCCCTCTCCTCTCTGTGAGGGAGTGGTACTTTCTGATAGATGCCATCGGCCCAATCTCTCCCAGCACTTAGTGGCCCACAGATTTGACCTCCCCAATTCTGACTTCTGAAGCTTCCAGACAGGCTTCTGACATAGGACTCCAACAGGCCCTTTGCCTGAATGGCCAGGCCAGCCGCCCCAGTTAGGGGAGGTCCTGGAGTTGCTGCCTCTGGGGACAGGCTCCAAAGGACCTGGAAGTGTCAGCTGCAGTGGTCACCACCCTCAGGCATACGGCCCCTCCCTGGCAGGAAGGCACCTGACTGTGCAGTGGCTTGTCAATCATGATTCACCTGACTCCAAACCCCACACTTCCTCATTCTCCACAGATGCTTCCTGAGTAAGGCCGCTGCCCCTCTTGAGAGGCCACCAGGTCTCGGCTCTCATGGAATGATGACAGCAGCCTCCCCAGCTGTGGGCTCTCCATTTCATACCCAGATGTCTCTGGGCCTAGGTCCCGGGGCCAGGCTCTGAAGAATGCAGCATGGAATCTTTTGATCTGGCATGCATTTGCTAAAGTCCAAGCTGGCGGCTCCGGAGGATGGGGGGCTTTGCTTTGGGATCACTCACTGGAGGCCAGCAGTGCTGAGCAGCACACCTTTGGCCGAGCCTGTCATAAACACCGCCACTAGAATGAGGACATACTAAGGCTCGGGCCACTCTGGCTATGGGAAAAGCAACTCAAGCCCTGGTGTGTGAGGCACAAAGGGGCGGGGCAGAGAGGAAGGACTTTGGAGTTGATGACGTCACCATCAGCCCTGTGACCCTGAGCGAGTTACCTAACTTCCCTAAGCCTTAGTGAAGTGGGGATGGTGATCCTACCCAATGGAACACAGGGGTTGTTCAGGATAAACTAAAACCAGGCCTGGAGTGGGCTTAGTGCCTGGCACTCAAGCACAGGGTTTGCTCCAGGGCCTCTTGCCTCCCTGCCAGCCGCCAGTGCTTGGCCTCCCTCTGAAAGCACCTTTACCCATCCTCTCTGTGTTTCACAGCCTGGCTCCCTCCTGAGATGGGGAGCACCCCAGGCTTAGCGCTCTCAGCTCACAGCCATTGAACCGAGGCCAAATCATCGTGACTGACACTACAGAACAGGACAGAAATTCCTTCCCCCTGTGGGTTTTCCAGGCTGTAACTCTTTAGGGAAGCAGATGGCCCCGTCTTTCTCCCATGGAATGGATGGTGGTTTCCAATGACTGACCTTGCAGTTAGCAGCCCAATACGTAAACCACTCCGCCACCCCACGCTTACAGGGGTGAGATTACAGTCCTGCAGGCCCAGCACAGGATAGCCTATGTCTAAAGGTCCAACACTCTCAGGCCCTCAGCCAAAAAGTCAAAGCAAAACCCAAACTCATTGCTGCTAATTGCCATTAGGGCGATTCCCTCTCCTGACAGTGCCACGTGCTACCGAGCAGAACTGCTCCACGGAGGGTGCTTCCTTGGCCGCAACCTTTGTGAAAGAAACGGATTGCCAGGCCTTTCTTGTGACACCACTGGGTGGGCTGGACCTACCAACATTCAGGTTAGCAGGCAAGTGAAAACCAGGTGTGTGCCACCCAGGACCTTGTGCCAAGGTCCACTGGGTATCCCCAAATCAACAGGTTCGAGAGAAGGCAGAGGAGAAGCAAGTAGAGGCTTCCTGACTCCTCACCATCTTCTATGACAGCCCGTGAGGCACCACTGCCAACGTTCCCAGGACCAGGAAGCCAGAGCTGCCAGACTGCAAAGGCCACCAGGATCGGACCTACCCACGGCAAGGAGGCCCCAACGGGGACAAGCTCCGTGAAGGACAAAATCTGGCCAGAGCAGTTCCTTAGGGATGATAAATACACACGAGAACAAAGGAGAGCCTGCACAAAGCACTGACTGGGCTTTGTTTTGAACATGACCGTGACAAGGAGCCACACCAAAGTGATATAACTATGAGGCTGTTCCTCACCACAGCTGGAGGGAGACAACGAATTAAAAAACAAAACAAAACACATCAAGGAGACAGCATCATTTTATGTTGCAGCCAGATGTCAGCCAGGCCGCCCCCCGCTGGGTGCCCTGAGCCCCTGTCAGGAGATAGGATCAGATTGCCTACCCATTCCATCGCACAAGTTTTGTAAGCCCTTTCCAGGGAAGTGACACTAAGCTCTTGGAATATCGCAGCATTGCGGGTGACATCAACAGGAAGTCCCGAGTGAAGCGGTGGCCAGGTGGCAGCTGTGCTTCCGAGAAAGCAAGTGTGCCGGGGGCTGTGCTTCAGGAAAAATCGTCCCGATTCAACTCACATCGGACGGGCTTCGTGTGATGAACCAGAGAACAGGCTGCATGTCTCAAGGACTCCATCAGCCCAGCCATGGCTAGGGTCACAGTCAAGTCTGGGGACATTCCACAAACCCCATCCTGTTTTTTTGTTTTTTTTTAATATTTTGTTAGGGGCTCATACAACTGTTATCACAATCCATACACACATCAATTGTGTAAAGCGCATTTGTACCTCATTCTCAAAACATTTTCTCTCCACTTAAACCCCCAACATTAGATCCTCATTTTTCCCCTCCCTCCCCGCTTCCCCCTCCCTCATGAGCCCTTGATAGTTTATAAATGGGTATTTTGTCATATCTTGCCCTGTCCGACGTCTCCCTTCACCCACTTTTCGGTTGTCTGTCCCCCAGGGAGGAGGCCACATATAGTTCCTTGTAATTGGTTCCCTCTTTCCTACCCATTCTCCCTTTACCCTCCCTGTTTCGCCACTCACACCACTGGTCCTATAGGGCTCATCCGCCCTGGATTCCCTATATTTTCAATTCCTATCTGTGCCAGTGTACATCCTCTGGTCTAGCCACACTTGCAAGGTCGAATTCGAGTCATGGTAGTGGGAGCGGGGAGGAAACATTTAGGAACTAGAGGAAAGTTGTATTTCTCATCGTTGTTACATCGCACCCTGACTGGCTCATCTTCTCCCCCCCATCTGTTCTTGACCAAATCATCTGAAGTCCTCCCAAGCTCCAGAGATTCAAATCAGTCAGAGAAGCGCTTGGAGAAAGGCGAACGTGGGGCACGAGGATGGGGACGGACTTGTTGGCCCCCGCCTTCAGAAGTGGCAGCTGACACAGCAGCCGAGGGAAGATGGCTAACAGGAACGGCTGTCTGAGACATGGGTGGTACACACCTGCAATGTACCTAAGGCGTGGCACGGTGAGAAAATATGAGGACCTTCAAGAATGGTTCAAAAGCCCTTGGGGGAAATGAAGGATCAGAGATGTTACTAAGCTGTTTGAGACCATTGACTTTTTGGGGAGGGGGGGCGGTTACAGCCATACCCTCACACCACACCACCTGGGGGTGGGTATGGGGATGAACAAAGCAACTGTACCTCGGCACACTTGTAATGCACCCAAGAGCCAAACTCCGACTGTTTTTAGTGAGGCTGCCAATGGACCTGCCTCCTCGTTGCCAACCAATACCACAGACACCCTCTTCCTCTAGTAAAAAACTAAAACACCATGCACATTTGTGTCATCTTAAAAGCCTCTCCATTAGTCAGCCTGCCCCTTCCTGTATCCCACAGATTCCTCAGAAGGCGACAGCTAATTGGGATGCCTAGCACCCTTATCTTTTCTCCAGCGCCCTTCCCCTGGCAGAATCCTAAAATAGCAGCAGTCCAGATTAGCAGCTCGGAGAGTAAGTGCTAAACTGAATAACACGGGGATTAATGAAAGAACGGCCAGACCTCAAACAGAGCCACCTGGTGGGCAGGAGCCCTAGCCCGGAGGGGCGAGCCCCTTCTTCAACCTGGGGAGTGCCTGCCCCCTGCACTTGTCGGCTCCAGCCCCGACCGCATTCGGCTCCCCGCCTTGGAGGCCCGGTCGCCCAAAGGGCAGAGGGCCAGCACGCAGCGCCCTCACCTTTCAGGAGGTCCGGATGCACGTAGCCCAGCACGTCGGAGACCCCCAGCTCCTGGCGGGAACAGGTGCCGCCGTGGAGGTGCAGCCAGGCAGGCTCGGCGAGGGCAGTGCACAGCGCCGTGATGGACAGGGCGCCCGGCAGGGCCGAGGCCAGGCTACGCTCCGGCTGCTTGGGCAGGGTGCTGCCTCCCGGGCTCCTCCGCCGGCGCCCGCCGGGCAGCCCTGCGCCTCCGGGGGCGTACATACCCGGGGCCGCCCGCCGCCGCTCCGCGGTCGCTGCTAGTGGCCGCCGACCTCCGCAGGGCGCGCAGAGCTTGCCTGTCGCGGGGAAAGAGCAACGCGATGGATTCCGGGCAGGTGAGGCCGGCGCTGGGCAGTCACAGCCGGCACCGGAGGCTGGGGGTGGAGCCGTCCGCTGAGACCAGAGGGCAGCAGGGACTCGGGGCGGGGGCAAGGGGACCCTGAAATGGGGCTGCCAGGGTGCGGGGCGAGGACCCGTAGAGGGCTGGGCACCGGGCGGGGTCTGGAGAGAGCAGCGGAGGGGCTGGGGTACCAAGGATGCTGGTAGGAAGGAGACCGACCCCCAGGTCTTGGCCAGAGAGTTCCCAGGGGCGGAGGACCTGGCTGGGCCGCAGAGATCGCGGGTACTGGGGTTGAGGAGCTGGGGATCTGGGAAATACGCTCAGGGGTGGGACGTGGGCGAAGAAAGGATGCTCCCCACGTCAACCCCTTTTCCTCACCGGTCAGCAAGCCTCTGGGCCGGGATGGCGCCGCTCCGCCCCGTCACAGGCTCCTCAGCAGCCCGGGGCCAAGCGTTCCCAGGCCCTAATCCCGCAACGCCCGGACCGACCCGGGGCCGATCCACTTCCGGCTTCCTCCCTCTCCGCCCCCGCCTCCTCCTGCTCCCCGCCCCGTCCCCAGTGCGCGTCGCACTCCAGGCGCGCCGCTGGCTCTGTGCGCAGGGCCTCACGGGACTGGTAGTTCAAGATAACTCCATGATGCTAGCGGCAAAGTGGGGCGGGGACTACAACTCCCATAGGGCAGCGCGGGAGCAGCGGCGGGCACTTCAGTTCCCAGGACTACCCGGGCCCTCAGGCGGAAACGGGTGGACCCTGCGGCCACCCGAGATCGTAGTGGGTATTGTGGGCATCTGCCCGGTGCTTGGCTTGCCTGACTACCAATTTCTGCCCACCTCTCCCTCACCCTCCGCTAGGACGCCATGAAAGATTCGCTGGTGCTGCTGGGACGCGTCCCAGCGCACCCGGACTCCCGCTGCTGGTACCTGGCCTGGAACCCAGCAGGGACCCTGCTGGCCTCGTGCGGGGGCGACCGGAGAGTTCGCATCTGGGGCAGAGAAGGTAAGACCTGGCATGGTTGTGCAACCCCTAGCGCCTGGCGCTCTGCCTTTGAGTAGTGTGCTGGGGCCGAGGATTGCACTCGGTTGGAGGAGGCAGGCCTGGCCCTGAATATTGGCCAAAAGAGAAGAGGGGGAGGCGACTGAAGTTCGAGTTGTGTGTTCCAGGCAAAGGAGTCCACAAGTGCTAGGATCCAAAGAAGCGTGAGCGGACAGGCTGGAAGTGTTGAGGGGCTTGTTGGTAGTTGCTGAAACAGGAAAATAGGGAGGGAAGAGTGGGGGGGTGCAAGGAACCCTAGAGAATTCACCCAATTCACAATGAAACGCTTTTAAAAAGAGGATTGAGGATTCTGATGGTGAAGTTTGCATTTTATGCGAACACATCTGCGAGCCACTGACAGTTTTAAATCAGGAGGATACCTACCTTCTCAGGAAAGAGTTTTTTTTTAAAAAAAACCCTCAAACTCACTGCCATTGAGTCGGTATCAACTCACAGTGACCCTGCAGGACAGGGCAGAAGTGTCCCTGTGGACTTCCAAAACTCACTCTTTATGGGAACAGAAAGCCCCTTCTTTCTCTCAAAGAGCCACCGCTGGCAGTTTGTAACTGCTGACCTTGTGGTTAGCTCCGTGAGGAGCCCGCTCATCTCCCTAAAAGCACGCTGGTACAGACAAGGGCTTGGCCCCAAACTAGTCTGAATCAACAGCAGATGGCATGCCGGTGCTTTAGCACCACCTTGTGCAGCCAGCTCTAGGGTCTGTCCTGTCTTCTACTCTTAGGTGACAGCTGGATCAGCAAGTCTGTCCTTTCTGATGGCCATCAGAGGACTGTGCGAAAAGTAGCCTGGTCGCCTTGTGGGAATTACTTAGCCTCTGCCAGCTTTGATGCTACCACTTGCATTTGGAAAAAGAACCAGGATGACTTTGAGGTAACAAAGTGGAACAGGCCCAGGATTGTCGCCTATTAGCAGCCCAGGCCTGCTGCAGGCAGCTGAGCTAACGGGGCCCAGTTGGGCTGTGTCCCTGGAGAGAAGCTCCCCCGCCCCCTGGAGTCTGCTGCCATTGTTTCTCCCCTGTCTTCCCTTCTCAGTGTGTAACAACTCTCGAGGGCCATGAAAATGAGGTCAAGTCAGTGGCCTGGGCTCCATCTGGCAACCTTCTGGCCACCTGCAGCCGAGATAAAAGTGTCTGGGTCTGGGAAGGTAAGGCCAGGTCCCGCCTGCTGGCATTGGGTGCCAGCTGACAGACAGCCCCCGCGCCACCCCCACCCCCACCCCCGTGTTCCCTGATAGGGTTGGCTCTCGAGTGCTCTTTCTTCTTCCCACAGTTGACGAAGAGGATGAGTATGAGTGTGTCAGTGTCCTCAACTCCCACACACAAGATGTCAAGCACGTGGTTTGGCACCCAAGTCAGGAGGTAGGAGGAGCCAAGCAAAGGGTCTGGTGGGAAGAAGCCTGCTGGGGTGGAGGCTCGTGCCCAGCCTCCCTGTGTTCACCAAGCCTCAGCCTTGCTTTTCCAGAGGTCTTCATCTGTCACCGCAGACGTTAGTCCCCTGTCACAATAGATCCTTAGGGCTGCCCTGTCCTGGCAAGGAGAGGCATTGCAGGCACTTCCTGTGCTGGGCAAGCGCCAAATCTCCTGCCTCCCACTCCACCCAGCTCTTGGCCTCTGCCAGCTACGACGACACAGTGAAACTCTACCGGGAAGAGGAGGACGACTGGGTATGCTGTGCCACCCTGGAGGGCCATGAATCCACTGTGTGGAGCGTGGCCTTTGACCCCAGCGGTCAGCGCCTGGCATCCTGCAGCGATGACCGGACTGTGCGCATCTGGCACCAATATCTGCCAGACAACGAGCAAGGTGAGGATCCAATGGGACAACTAAAGGAGCCTCCTCTCCCCAAAAAGGTTACAGTCTATTAAGGGCCAAAACGTCATACAGGAATTGCAGCAAATTGGCGTAGAAAGAGGACTCCAGACAAAATGCTCGTAGAAGGAGGGGCAGCTTGTGGAAGAGGGGCCTTTTCATCCCAACTTGAAGGGGCGTGTGGCAGTTAGTGAACACAAGTCCAGGAAGAGATTTCTGGGTGAAAACAACAGCATGAGCTAAGGTCTTGAGGTAGGCCTGTGGCCAGGAATGGTGCTACGTTTAGCTAGAGCACAGGGGGGGAGGGATTTCGAGAGGAATCGCGTGGGTTGGGCAAGCTGGTGGGTGGCCTTCAAAAGCAGACTGACGAGTCAGACTTCGTCTGCAGCAAAAGTTTTTTTAAAGAACAAGTATGTTGCCTTCTCAGAATTCTGCTTTAGAATGACCCATCTGGCCTCGAGTGTGAGGCGGATCAGCGTGAGAATGTGGACAGTGGGATGGAGCCCAAGAATCGTAACTGATTTTGGAGGGTGGGGGAGGAGTGAGGGTCTCTACCTACTACCCCGGAGGACATTCAGGCTCATAGTGACCTCTACAAGGAGGCAGCGACCCCCCAAGGTACCCGGGCCACCGACCCATCGTAGGCTCAAGAGAAGTTTGTCCTGCAGGGGTGGCATGCAGCGGCTCCGACCCCAGCTGGAAATGTGTCTGCACTTTGTCGGGTTTCCACTCCAGGACCGTTTACGATGTCGCTTGGTGAGACCTCATCCTGCCCTGCCCCGCCCCGCCCCCACTCAGCCCCCATGGATTGGAGCAGAATAAAGCAGCTGTGCTGCCCTCTTCCCACTTTGGCGTAGCACATGGCATTGAATACAGCCACCTTCCTTTGTCCGCAGCAGCCTGACTGCTGACCATGCTGGTTTCAAGCTGGCCAGCCTGGGAGTCTCAGAAGCAAGGAACACCTTATAGGCCTAGGGCTCTACTTCTGTTCAGATTCCAGGCTGTGTTAGGTCAGCACCAGCCTGCAGAATTCACAAACTACCATACCACCCAGAAATATTTATTAGTAGATTATATAGTTTGGTACATTCTCTGAATCAGAATTGCTATCTGATCTTGGAAAAGATACAGCCAGAATGTTCCGTAGAAGTGAAAGTACGTTTCACGTACTTTGGACATGTCATCAGGAGAGCGCAGACAATCTTGAGAAAGACATCTGTAATGGTAAAGTAGAAGGGCGGCAAGAGAGGCAGGCATGAAGTGGCAGTGTCTGCGGTTAGAGTCTGAAACAACAATTGTGAGGACGGCGCAGGATCAGGCCGACTTGATAGCACCTAACAACTGTGTGGTTTGGTAACTTGGACACCCTGTAATGGAGTCTAGACTTTCCCCAGTAGATA